ATTTAGTTTAGTTAACGTTAGTTTCAATCATCTGGACCAAGTCGTTGACTTTCCCCTGTCTTTCATCTCGATTCCCATCTTCAACATTTCATCCCTGATGCCGTCGCATAATCCGAAGACTTCTTTGCTTTTGCTGCTCGCCCCAATTTGCCTTAATTCTCCCCTAAACTGCACCAAAAGATCGACGATTCTATCAAAGTCTTTGTCGCTCTCGCTGTTAACTTTGTTCAGATTTAAACCGAAGGAATTCAGGGTTTTCCCAACGAAATTTGTGATTGCCATTAAACCAATTGAACCGTCGTTGCCAGAAGAATCAGAGGCGGCCGTATGAATCATCTTATTGGTGCTGCTCATCAAATTGTTGATACTCTTCACGCACGAGGCAGTATCGAAGTCGTCCTTCAAGGCGTCTTCTACCTCTTGATTCGTTTTACCCAAATGGGTCATCAGCAAATCGGAATTCAAATTGGTTTGAATTGGATTGTCCAGATAAGCGGCGCAGTTATCCATAAAGTTCTTGCAAGTTAAGAGGTAGTTGTTGGCTGTTCTCAGCATCTCTTCGGAATATTCCATGTTCTTGGAGTAATGCGACATAAGGCAGGCCATGCGGAACGTGTCTGCTTTACACGTTTTCAGCATGTCTTTTATGCTGAGCGTGTTCTTCAGCGATTTCGACATTTTAACCGAATCTTTCAGATGCAAGTGACCGGTATGCAACCAATAATTCACCCATTGATCAACTGAAAAGTAGGAGCATGATTGGGCCTCTTCGTTTTCGTGATGCGGGAATCTCAAGTCTATACCACCAGCATGCACATCTATGTTGGATCCTGAAACATTTAACAGTTAACACCAAATTGATTTCGTTAATAACTTTAATATACCTAAAATAGTTCCAGCAAGTGCAGAACATTCAATGTGCCAACCAGGCCTGCCTGGACCAAAGTTGCTCTCCCATTTGGGCTCATTCCCTTTGCTTCCCTTCCACAAAGCGAAATCCGCTGGAGATCTTTTAACATTACTTTTCTCAGATTCACTTTCCCCAATATTCTGCAACTTCCCATAAACTCCTTTATAGCAGCCTGTATCAAAGTAAACTGATCCATCTACACTTTGGTAAGCTTGCTTATTTTCAAGTAAAGACTGTATGAAGTCTATTATCACAGGCATATTATCAGTGACTCTAACAACTCTATCTGGTTTTGGTACATTGAGAGACTGCAAATCCTCCCAGAAATCCCTCTCATAAAACTTTGCCAGTTCCTGTACACTGCTCTTCTCGTCCTCAGCCCTTCTAATCAATTTATCATCTATATCAGTGATATTCATAACAGATACAATGTTTACTTTAAACTGCTCCCGCAGTATCCTCTGTATGATATCCAGCTTCACATAGCAGCTGGCATGTCCGATGTGGGAAGAGTCATAGACTGTTGGTCCACAAGTATACCAGGTCATCAACTCTTTGTTCCTCAGCACCAGAGGAACTTTCCTCTTGGCCGTACAATTGTACACACTAATAGGAAGTTCGTATCCCTCCGGTTTGATCCAAGTGTGCTTGTGCCGAACATTTTTAAAAATTCGCAACATCTTATTTACAGGTTATATTTATTTTAAACTGCTGTCAGATCATGGTTTATCCTAGCAGGTTACTTTTTTGTTATATCAGCTGAACGATAACAAATTTACTGAAACTACTGAAATAATTTAAGCCTTTTCTTTTTTGTAAGTATTAATTTATAATTATTATCCAATAAATGTATGAAAACATATCAAATCTATTTATTGCATTCGTGTTTTATTATTTCAAATGTATTGTTTACTTTTAGAGGTTAAAATTGCAATAATAATGTTTCAGATAAATCACTTTAAAAGATGAATTATTCTGAGGAAGGTGAGAAGTTGGCCGATCAGAGTGCATGTGCTGGTGTCAGAGCTGATTTGAAAATGTGCCTTTTGCAGAGTGATTGCTGTCGATTGGTGAGTATTATTTAAATATATGGTAATGATTTATTTATACATTTGTATGTCTTTTCTAATATATTTAGGCTTAAATCAATAGAAAGACATTGTGATTTAAGATTAGTTTGTGTTATTTGAATGTATAGTTATGAAGTGTATAATTGGAAATTGATTCAATTAGAAATTATATTTATAGAAAACATACTGAAACTAATACCTTCAAACTCCTGTTTTGTAAAGTGGTAAAACAAGCATTAATTTCCACTTTTTAAAGTAATAAACTTATCTTGTATAAGTGTAATAAATATTTTATTTGGAACATTGGAACAAACTTAAATTAAGCTTGTTCTTGTCCTTCAATAAATTTTCATAAATAATTGTTCTTTCATGTATTTCAAGGAGATGATTGAGTTTCAAATAATTATCAGTTTATTTATATATTTATGGGAAAATTGTATATTACTTCCAAAATAGGAAGAAACATATGGGAAGACTAAAAATTGTAAATTTGGAAGAATTTGATTACCTAAAATACAATAAAATTCTAACATAACAATTTCTAAGAAATTTTAAAAATATTTTTAGTTTACTTTTGTTTTCATGGGAAATGTGTACATTGCATCAATTTCTAAATAAGAAATTAGGAAAAAACTCATAAAATTCTATCATAATAATTTAATTTGTTACAGATTTAAAAAGTATACATTTTAAATTATATTTATAATAATTAAATTAATATACTTTATCAGATATATGCGTTGAAAAATTGATAAATATTACTGATACTTTGGTTGTATATCTAATACTTCTAAATCTAAGATTAGTAAGACTTGTTGTATTAGTCTCATTTATTTATTCATACATATTGATACTCGCATTCGAAGATAGCAGTAATAATGAACTTGAGCTCTGATCAAAGTGTAGACATTCAAGATATTGTTGCATAGTCCGATTTAAAATCTGTTTTTGTGAGGTTTCAAACAGTCCAGAATATTGGACTTATTTGATAGACGTAAACTTAAATTATAAACATGTTAAAATCCAGGATTCCCCTCGACTCCTGCATTTCTGATATGCAAAAATCCCCAATTTAGATAAGCTACAGCAAACGTGACGAATGCAATTAGTTTGCAAACAAATATACCTCGCATAACGAGCATTTCGCTTAACGAGCAAAATGCATTGTAAGAAAAATGACTTGCTTAACGAGAGACGTTTCGCATAACGAGTGACGATGAGAAAAGAAGTTCCGGATTGCGCGCATGCTACATAATTTTTATAACTTGTATACACATAATATGTGTATTTTTGAATATATTTGGATACGAGTAAAAATCCGGAAATTTTGGAACGGATTAAACTTGTTAATTGAGATTCCATGTATTTCAATTGCTTTGATTTATTATTTTCAGTATTTGAATATTACGATCATAATTTATTTATATGTATATTGAAATGTAATTGATTTATTTGCAATTGCAGCAAAAGAAAACTCCTCGTGAATGTCTGAACGTGACCGACGGTTCTGTCCCCACCGAATGCCAAGTGCTCAGAAACACGTTTTTCGAATGCAAACGATCAATGGTAATTATTTAATTGAAGATAATATAAACATATAGATTTAATGTAATCATTTGTTTTTAGCTGGACAATCGAACCAGATTTAGAGGAAGGAAGGGCTACTAAAGATAAAGTTGAGTTCCAGTAAATGTAGTCGTACCTTATTTTAAATGATACACAGTAGGAAAATATATTTATTTTGTTTGTTCATCAGAAATTTCCTTCAATTTAATACCCTGAAATATCAAACGTGGGAAAAGAGAATAAATTGCAGACAACTTTCAACATAAATTTAATAATAAATTTCAATCTTTACATAACAAATTTTTAAAGCACTG